TAGTAGACAGCTGAGATTTTGTAGTGAAGGATGTCCTTCGAATATAGGATTTATTTTCAGATTATCAGCTGATTTTAAGGACTAATTCTTCGAATATACTAGAATAAATGTAGATCAGAATCCTATAATCAGTCCATATCTTGGGGTTTTGTGTAGAAAAATGATAACGCTTCTTAAGCGTAAATTTTGGTTAAATTTACTGATTATTTTGGGATAAATCTTCCTGAAAAAATTACTCCAAAATCTTTAAGTTAACTTTCTCGGAGTCGATTAATTTTGTTCCAAAGTTAACAGCTGGGTTTGTTCATGTTAGTGTTTTCGATTGGCTTTTTGGTGCTTCATCTATTGCTCTTATTGAAAGTTTTTGTTGTTCGTCATGAAAACATGAAGAAGTAATAAAAGAGATGTTTATCATTTGCTACTCTCTATAGTTCAGTGCTCTCATCGTTAAAAAGAGTTGCAATAAAGTATAATATTGTCGTAATCATATGAATATTGGTGAAACGGAAAGCCTTCACATTTCACTGTGGTTAGAAACATTAAAAAGTTTATAAATACAAAACCTTAATCTCATTTTTTTATATCAGGAGAACAGATCCAACTGGCTGTAAAGTAGAGGATAGTAAGTCTAATTTTTAACTCTCGAACTAGACAAAAATAACTAATATCAGCTCTCGTAAGTTGTAGCTTTTAAGTAAGGCGGTGCTTATTCGACAACATGTGAGCTGTCAACTAGATGAATAGCCGTTTCATTCATTAGGAGAAGGATTGACTATAACCTAGCACTTAGGGTTTCGTAATAGACCAGTACAAATTACTGTGCATCAAAATGCTTTTAAAACTACACAAGGACTTACCTCAAAAAACTGTTTGTACAATTTATAGCCTTTCATATCAAATGTCATGCATGTTGTCTTCAGACAACTTTAACTTTATGGTAGCGGGGTAATTAACACAAACTCAGTGAATTATAAGGCATGTAACAAAAAGATCATTGAAAATAATTTTTTATAAAGCTTTTTTATACATTGAACTGACGAAATCTCTTTTAGTATTTTTGTAGGCTGAACAGATCAGAATTTTATGAATAAAATAGAATTATCTAGACAGTGTATACTACAATGAGATCTTGAATAAAGATGAATTTACTACTAACTATCGATTGTGGCACGATTGACAATGGTTTAACATGAAAACAATTACCAGATCAGTGAAATCATCTCTCAAAGTGATTAACAGACGAACAAGATACGTAATCGTTTGACACTTTATCGAATGTACAGCTTCGGACAAAACTTGTGAATATTTTACTAAATTGTTTTTCTGGACTTCTGTAGACGAGAACAGGATACCCTAATGGATGTTCTAGAGAAATACAAAGAGAACGAGCAAAATGTAATCGTCTTGAAGATTGACCTATTGTCGTTTTTACCATACGTTCATTATGACTGACTGAAATATGAAGCATTTTCAAACAGCTATTAGTTTACTTTCCTCTTGAAAATGAAACATGAAACAGGTGATGAAATTTAGGTTTAATTACTAATTATTATCCTTGTATAAAAAAGGAAGTAACCTAAAATGAGTAATAAACACCTATTTTGAATGCATTAATATGCGAAATATTAATAACCCAGATTTAATCTGGTTACATGAAACTCTTTTTGAAACCTTCCAGCAATCAAAACATCTTAGACTAGTTGGCCAAGATTAGCAGATGATTAGAAAGATCGTTTATTTTCTGAATATTAATTTCTTATAAATAACTGCCAAGAGTTTACAAGTAAATTGTCCGGATAGGTCTTAGCAAAATAGCTTTAAGAACAATGGAAGGTAATTTTATGAGTGATCGATTTATAAAAGTCAAGAACGCCTTAAAACCATCCTGCGAAAGAATTACTAGTTAGTGTTTTGGAAATTTAAGTACGATTAATTGTATTAGTCTCAAACGCAACCTACAGTATTTGAAAGAGACATGTTCACTAATTTGGCTGAGATAAGTATTTTGTGAGTGATCTATTGAAAATGAGCATATAAATACGGCGTTTCGATGAAAGTATTCCGTCAATAAACATTGTCAGTTAAATAACTAGCTAAACAATTTTAAAACCACACTGGCCTATACTTATTCGAAAATGAAAATCGATTATGCTTCATCAAATATTCGACAAATTTGGCTAATTTTATTCTGAAGTTTAGAAAACTTTGACCTCCACATGTAATCTAAAATCAAACCATTCATGCCAACTTGGATATGAGTCATCCAGATTCCTTCATCGATACCACCAAATATGACTACCAACCGTTAGTCAGTTTATATTAGGTTATTTAAGGAATGTGATTTAAACTAAAACAGTGTAGACCAAAAGTTAATTTATTGTCTTGAAACATTTTACATTAGTTTATTCTTAATTACGCGAATAAAGTTGAATTTTACTAATCCTAATAAGATGACCTGAACTTGATAACATTTAACGACTAGAATTGATTGTAAATGAGATTAGACGATTATTCCAAATGAAAAAGAATAACAATTTATTCACTGATTCTTTGTCTTTCGACATATTAGTTCAAAAGTTTGAAGAGAAAACTTTCTACAATACTTTGACTTGTATTTACAAATGACTTGTCAATGAAAAATTGTTAGTTTTCAATGAAACATAATTTTATTGTTTTCGGAGTAGAATGATGGAGATAAATGATTACATTTTTATCAAAATCAAAATACAATCCATGATATCAATGATATTTATACTAAAAAAAATGTAGTTTTGTGAAACTATATTGCTGGCCTTAGGTAACCTTAATACTTTATATGCCCAAGAAGTGAATGGCTTACAGAATTATATATGATGGTTCTGAATTCGAATGTACAGCTTATCAAAGCATAGTTGTTAAAAGTTATAAACTGTTCATCGAATAGGAAATTCTTTTTAAAAAAATTTTTCCAATGTACCAACCACTTAGTATTTTTGTTTGAGAAGCGCTTAACTTAACCATTAAAACTTAATCTCTATGCCTAGCACTATGGTGTAAGCTTAGCTAAAATAAATACTTTTTTCATGGTGCATTACTAAAAACGAGTAAAAATCCTTTATTGTTTAGAAAAATTGATTTTTTTTTTATAGTATAAAAATCATTTCACTGATTTTACCAAGAGATATATGAAACTGCATCGAAATTTTATGAATTTATAGCTTTGTATTTACGTTATTACACTTAGAGAAGTTAACACAGCCATCACTTCGGACAATAAGGCCGGTGAATCAATAGAGATTTTCAGATACATCTAAATGGTCGACATAATTCCTTCAAATCTATGGTTGAGGTAGGAAGAGTAAACATTTCTCTTCGATGAAGATCATCGGTCTGAATTACTTGGTTTCTAGTAATATGACTATGCACAAACTTTAAAATCTTATTTCTGTTTAGCTTTACAGGCTATCTTAAGTCAAGATATCAAATCGATAAGTTGAAATTTATTGGAGCCCAATATGTTTTTAAATTACATGCATACAGCAACGTTCCCAAGCATGCTATGAAGGATAGTACATTTACTCTGTTCGGCTGAGAAAATTGGACTGGTAAGGGCACAATGATAAGATAAAATGTGTTAGCTTGTCTTCGGTATTTCTGTGCATATGTTTTTGTTTACACAATTCGTTCAAAGGAGAAATAATATCCGCTGATACTCAAAATCTACATTGCAGAACAATAACTACAGAATTCAATTTCATTTCACATTTCTATGACATGAAAGAGTGAATGCTTTTCTTAATCATTTACGTTTTTTGAAACCATCAAACTTAAAATTATCCTCAGTGCTCATTTTTCCAATGTTTTGGAAAAATTTACAAATAATAACCTTTTTCTCTGCTAGCAAACTGACCATAAATAGAAGATAGTTTTTATTGAAATAGCTTCTTTAATCATTCTTATTACAGGCAACCAATCATACATCATTGTCGAAGGAGCTCTGATCTAGTGAAGTGTTACACCATGTCTTATGTATGTGATATTTTATATTTTTAGAATTTAAAGATACTCTTATGATATAATAAACAACTGACACCAAAACTGAAATGTAGTACTCTATGACTTGATTATTTCCCCTGAAGAAGCGCTGAGCCGTTAGTCATACGGAACTGATGAAATTTCAATAGCCAAAAATTTCCACAAATATCTTTTATTACCTAATTTCTTCTGTATACTTGAGGCTATGAGAAATTTTATTCAAACCAACAGGACAAAATAGTTATTTTATTATGTTGAGCATCTATCCTTCATTATACTGGTGTATCTGAATTGACTGCTTCAGTCACATGACTAGAGACAAGTTTCTGTTATATCCACCTAAAGCCTTGATTCCTCAAAACGTATGGTTATATGAAGCCTTTCTTCAGCAGCCGTGTCTAAGCAACTAACAGGAATAGAAGTTAAGTTTTTAACAGATATTTCTCAAAACAGATAAAAAAAAATGTCTCCTCATAGAAGGTTTTAAATTTCTCTTTAATGATGACTGTAACAAACACTACAAGTTTGTAACAATTTTTTGTTTTTTGCTGTAGCGAGTAGCTTACCACACTTGGGGGCATGTAAAATCAACCGACAGCTGATGAGGTAGTCACAGTTAAGTTTCTTAGAAATGTAAGCTTATTCACAAAAAAACAATGTCTATTTTTTGCTCAATGTCAATCAATTCACATAAGTATTAAGATAGTGTTTCTTTTTCCAAAAAAAAAACAAACACAAATGACATATTTCTTGTTATGCAGTCTCACTTTGCAATAATTGGTTCTGTTTTACGAACGAATAGTTTTCAAGGAAATAAATGCGTAGGAATGAACATTTTCTGATCCTTTTTTTTGTTTGTTTCGGGCAGTGTATTGGATTTTGTTTGTAAAAATAATTAGACAGAAAAAAAAACAAAAACACTTTTATTTAATTATTTAGGAAGTTCTATGATCCATTGGTAACATTGTTGAAATTCATACGAAAAAATGAATGTAGTAAATACTAAAAACTGTAATGAATTAATCAATGACTTGAAATTTATTTGGATAGAACATGAATTAGGACCGCAACGTATGTCATTAACACGTCAAATTTTAATTGGAATTGTTTATACCACTATTTTTTGTACTGGCTTACTTGGCAATTTAGCTACATGTATCGTCATTGCTCGTAATTCATTTATGCATACAAGAACGAATTGTTATTTGTTTACATTATCTGTCAGTGATTTATTATTGTTAGTTTTTGGTAAGTTATCTCTGGTTTTTCTATGTTTAAAATTAAAAAAAAAATCATTTCAATAATTAGAGATATTTGATCTGTCAGTATTATATTTATGTGTTTTTTGAAGATGAGATTCATTACAAACAGGAGAACTATTGAACTACGATTTGGTTACTGGGCATTGTTTTGCCCTAATTTAGGGCTTCTCACAGTTATTCTATTCTATGTGCTTTAGAATCCATTGCAGTTATGTTGGACAAGGAATTCATTTATTTCTATTTTAAACTTCAGCATAACTATCCCTTTTTCGTTAACCAACCAACTTTTCGAATGTAATGTTTTGATGATTCTTAAGCACAGATTGTGAATGTTCATTAGTTGATCTCGAAGAGCCAATTTATCCATTTTATGAATATGGAAATTGAAATTTTTTCTATGGGTATGAAATACATTGTACTGTTTATAGTTGAAATATGTACTTGATCAAAGGAATTTGTATGAAAAGTAGTGGTAAAATTGAAAATAGCGGTAATTCACAAGAATTAGGGTAGAATAAACTTTCAATGTAAACAACATTTTCAAAAGATTTTTTATGGATAACTGGTTTCATTTTCTTCTGTGTGGAACAACTTCCTTTTTTTACTGTGACAATATGTTTACCGGTGTCCAAACAGAGTATCTTTGTGTCTTCATCTAAACGCCGATAAGTTCTGATCTTTGTGATATTACTTACTTACTTACTTACGCCTGTTATCCCCAATGGAGCATAGGCCGCCCACCAGTTTTCTCCAACCAACTCTGTCCTGGGCTTCCCTCTCCAGTTCTGTCCAGTGTTTGTTCATTACTCTCATATCTTTCTCTATTTCTCGGCGTAATGTGTTCCGTGGCCTTCCTCTTTTCCTTTTGCCTTGAGGGTTCCAAGTGAGGGCTTGTCTTGTGACGCAGTTAGGTGCTTTTCGTAGTGTGTGTCCTATCTACTTCCATCGCTTCTTCCTGATTTCCTCCTCCAATGGAATCTGGTTTGTTCTCTCCCATAGTAAGTTGTTGCTGATGGTGTCTGGCCAACGAATCCGAAGTATTTTGCGTAGACAGCTGTTAATAAACACTTGTATCTTCTGGATGATGCCTTTTGTAGTTCTCCAGGTTTCCGCTCCATACAGTAGAACTGTCTTCACATTGTGATATTAAGTAACTGAAATTTATGTGCAAAGGACAAGTCATACTAATTTTAGATACGAATGCATGATCATAAAAATTTTAAATGTGACTGTATTCTACAAATGATTTTAAATTTTTTCAATATTTTCGATATTTTAATAACTGGTAGGGATTTAGAAAATAATAATAATAAATACTATGCCCTAAACAATGAGTGACAACATTTACAATGAACTATGCTTCATATTGTATAGAACTGTTAAATGTTATGCGGAATGTTTAATTTTTTTATCAAAATGCTGTATCATAATGATTTTTTCAACTGTATTTAACTAATTTATTCGTATCAAATCTCTTGAAAGTAACACGCTAAAACTATCTGAAATGTAAAAATAACATTCAAATGCCAATGAATAGTTGTTACCCTAATTGATTTTTTAAATCATATTCGATGGAAGTATGTGTTAAGATACGGACCAAACGATTCTTTTACCACAGTTACAATTACTGTCATTCAAATGGAATAGAAAATTCGAAACCTTGACTTGAATTTGAAAATAATGTCTGGCGACAAACTATGTTCTCACCTGTAAACAATAGAATTTAAAATAGTAGTTAGTATGCAAGAGAAGACGACCAGTGTAGCAGCCGCCTGTGCAGTAGCAGGTCTCAACATACGTAAAGGAAAAAGCGAAATTCTGAGATGCAACACAACATGCAACAACCAAATCACTCTTCATGGAGATGCCTTGGAGGACGTTAACACCTTTACATATCTGGACAGCATCATCGATAACCAAGGTGGATCCGATGCAGATGTGAGGGCGCGGATTGGCAAAGCAAGGGCTGCATTTCTTCAATTGAAAAATATATGGAACTCCAAACAACTTTCAACCAAAACCAAAATCAGGATTTTCAATACAAATGTCAAGATAGTTATAGTGTACGGATTGGAAACTTGGAGAATTATGAAAGCCATCATCCAGAAGATACAAGTGTTTATTAACAGTTGTCTACGCAAAATACTTCGTATTCGTTGGCCAGACACCATCAGCAACAACTTACTATGGGAGAGAACAAACCAGATTCCATTGGAGAAGGAAATCAGGAAGAAGCGATGGAAGTGGATAGGACACACACTACGAAAAGCACCTAACTGCGTCACGAGAAAAGCCCTCACTTGGAACCCTGAAGGCAAAAGGAAAAGAGGAAGGCCACGGAACACATTACGCCGAGAAATAGAGAAAGATATGAGAGAAATGAACAAACACTGGACAGAACTGGAGAGGGAAGCCCAGGACAGAGTTGGTTGGAGAAAACTGGTGGGCGGCCTATGCTCCATTGGGGGTAGCAGGCGTAAGTAAGTAATTAAGTAAGTAAGTAAGTAAGTAGATAACTTATGGTTTAGGTACATCGCAAGCAAGTGCTGTTGTGTATACAATGTTGAATACTAGCAAAACTTCACCTTATTAGTTAGTACATTCACTTCATTATTAGTGGTTTTCCTTTGTCACATTTCTTTTCGTGAAAAACAGTGCAACAATTAATGATCAAAAGCACTCAAAAAAAAAAAAATAAAATAAAACAAGTGAATCAAAGTAAATTCGTCGAACTTGCTTACACATTGCATAAACTGTAATCTCATCGTCAATATGAGCTGTAAATTTATTGAACTGATTATTTTCAAAAATTCAGCTAGTTTAACAGGAAAATCCTCTATTCAATAATAAATCATGATAAAATTGTCTTTATTTGACTGTCATGATTTATTCATCATCATTCACTCGTCGTTTACTGCCATAATTCCTTTCGATTTTGATCAAGAAAAATGTTTGACCTAAATTCCATTTAATTATATTTAATTTTAGCAGATTTGTCAAGAAAACTTCCTGAATTTTTTTTTGAAGAACACAACTGATGTATGGATGATATTTAATTTTAACTGCTTTTCTGTCCTCAAACAACAAAATTTCTATTCAAAAAAGTAAATTCATTCATCAATCAAAATTTATTTTGAAGATGATGATGATTATTAAATGAAAGGTTGAAGGTGTACCAGATTAGTGGAAAGGGTTTTATTTTGACACAGTAAAATAAAACGTTAAAAAAAAATATAAAAAGAGTCAAAACTGAACGCAAACTGATGATGATGTTTATTCAACAACATAGGGGAATCTTTTGTCAGGTGTTTAAATAGCAGATAAAACGAAATCGTTGCTTCTGAATTTTATGTGGTGTCTTATTTTGTCAATGAAATTGAAACAATATCATCAACCTAACTCAATGTCTACCAGTTTTTCGAATGTTTTCAATGTACTAGATAGAGATTGGCAAGGAGCACTAGCTTATGAAATCTGACTCAATTATTACTGTTTATTTCCAGAAAATAGATATTAATGGAAAATTTAATTTAATGTTTTTGCACAATTTCGTTTACACCTCTTACCGATAAGTTTATTTTCAGCGATGATAAACTCCATTTTGTGACTTCATTAAAAGTATCGTAGCCAGTGAAAAAGGTCGTGTTTTCATTTATCTAATCACTAAATTGTACATATTTTTCTATAATTTCGATTATAGAAGTGATTGCAGGTGTGACTTTTGCTATATTCTAATTTATATTTCATCATAACTGACCATACTACAAATGACACGTCCATATCAAGAATGGTGTGATATTTCTGTAGTAGAAAACTTTTCATTGTTCATGGCTTTCTGTAAGTAAACCTCTATTAAGTACTTTGAATAGTTGAAGCCTTGAGGTGAAGATGCTTATTCCTACTTCATTGTGATTAGTCCCCAGGTACAACGTCAAAATGAAAAACGACAGTGAAGTGCTTTCCCATGACATTCACTAAAAACTTCTCTTGTACTGACAGTTTACTTGTATTCTGCTTAAATTTGGATGAAAATCAGGCTTTCTTTCTTTATTCATTATGAACTGAATAGGAAAAACTGAGATCTTTGAAGCTTTTCAGCAATGTATCAACTCCACAGACGTTAAACTGAATATTTAATAATCATATAACCTGCATTATATATATATATATATATATATATATATATATATATATATATATCAATTAAATTGCTTAATGACTTTCTATTCAGTAAATGAGATTTGTCAGTGACATATTTATTCTCTAAATTATTAAAGACTCATTTTTAAACTTAGAATGACACATATAGACGAACGATCATTTTTTGAATAAGACTGTCTACTTGTTCGTTTACCTGTTATGCGTGATGATCTCATCTACCTAACTGAGATCACTGACTCCGAAATTCCCTTGATTGGTCTAATATTTCCTTATGAATATTAATGTATGTTTCTTCTTTATTAAACTCTTATTTAACTTATACATAATTAAACATTTGTATAGACTTTTGTTGCATATGTACCTACACTTGTGGCATGGACAGAATTAGAAAGTTTACAATATACCCTGTCTTCCAGTCTGTATGATATATTCAGTTAACTGAATATACGATTATAACAGCAGACCTTATATTCATTATTTTTAAACGATTGATAACATTTCGATCTACTTAGGATTACCTTTAAGCTCCAAAAACTGTACTTTCTATGAATCAATATAGGGTAAAAGATATTTTAGCAATGTTTTCTTTCGAATAATAGCTGTTCTTTTTTAGTGTTTATGCTGTTCATGCTGATTAGATCTGGTGATATTATGATTATTTTCTGAAAAGTCAGTGTCTGATAGTATTCTTTTGACGGTCATCTATTCCAGCAAACAGCAGATAGACAACTAAAACTAAAATGAACTGAGACTTGGTTACTGAGTGTATTTTACAATTCGGAAAAGACATGGAACTATGCCATGTGAAACAAGTTTGCCAGACAA